CCCGGGAGCAGCTTTTCTGTAACAAATGGGACCAGCCAAGCAGTGATCTCTGCATTAGCATTCTAATAACCGGCGGCGGCCCTGGTGCAGTGTCAGAACTAATGTATGAAACTCCGTCCGAGCGCATTAAAATGCTCCCGACGCAGTGACGGCCCAGTAAAATGAGGCTACAGTTGCAGTCCCATAACGGTGACTAGTATACATGCCATAAGGACCTATTCCAGATGCTAAAGCTCTGATTCTGCAAGAAGAACAAGATGAGAACCATTCGCTTTTGTACAAAACTGGCTGCACGCTCCCTCAGCTTCAGGCTGGAAATGACCCCAAAGTCCGCACTGGAGAGCACAGCTGGGCCTGGCTCGCTTTGCAAGACTGGGGCATCGCCCTGAGATTCAGCACCCCAGGCAGCCCCAGCTGACCACCGCCTTGGAACCCACCAGGCAGCTCAGCGAGAGTCAGACGTGTTTCCCCATCACTGCCAGACTGTTCCCCCACAGCACCCCTCAATCCTACAGCCTCCAGGATGCCAAGACCCCTGGGGACCAGGACAGGACTTCCCTGCTGCTTCCCACAGCCAGGCCAGGTCCGAGGGGCAGAGAACAGTGGCGTCCTGATCTGGTGAAGAGCCGTGAGACGGGGTGGGGGGTGGGGGGTGGGGGTCTGGACCGGGTCTGGTGGAGCTATGGCTCCTGGCTGTTGCGGAGGCTCAGGCTGTCCTCTCTCCCAGGACAGTGCCTGGCATGGGCCTGAGCTCACTAGTAAAGACACTTGTCACGCATCATCATGGGAGCCATTTAATCTCTCGGCCTCTCGGACATCTGTCTGCGTGGCGTGGGAGGAGGGACCCGCCTGCGTATTTCCCAGGATTGTCCCGAGGTGCTGACTCACAATAACTGCACTCCCGGATCGGTGCCTGTGCTGGGTAATGGATGGTTTTATGCCTTCACTTGTCAAACAGCAGACTGTTTTCTTCATCTCCTGGATTTTTATTCAATGAAACAGGAGTGTATCTCTAAATCTTCCAAATGTGAACAATAGAAGACTGAGTGGCTTTTCCTGGCAGTGTCTGTGCCATAGCTGAATTATTTAAACTTTTATTGAATCCTGGGGCAGGGAGTGAAACAAAACTATCCCAAGAATAACAAGATTACTTTTCATTAATTCACTTAGAAATTGTTTTTTTTCTTGTAAATGCTTTCTCCATCTAAAAAGATCACATTGGTGCCCTAACCAGTTTGGCTCAGTGGATAGAGCGTCGGCCTGTGGACTGAAGGGTCCCAGGTTTGATTCCGGTCAAGGGCATGTACCTTGGTTGCAGGCACATCCCCAGTGGGGGGCATGCAGGAGGCAGCTGATCAATGTTTCTCTCTCATCAATGTTTCTAACTCTCTATCCCTCTCCCTTTCTCTCTGTAAAAAATCAATAAAATATATTTTAAAAAAATAAAAAATAAATAAAAAGATCACATTGGTAATGTGGATGCCTCATTACTCTATGAGGTAGACATCACTTTGATATCAAGGTTAAATTTCTCTCTCCATGACGGATGCCCACAGGGTGGTAGAGATGGGTAACAGGTGTTTGTTTATTGTAATAGTGTAAATATTACATGATTTCAAAGATTCAATTCACTTTTATGAGGATATTCCAGATTGAATACATGCAAATAAATAAATGTAAAATACTTTTTAAAATATTTCTGGTTGTCTCACAAACTATTATTTTAGGGGTGCTCTGTTTTGCTGGGTAACATCCAAAACATCTCTATGTTCACATCTATATAAAAACATTGAAGGGAAACATAACTGAGGGTTCTTTTTCCAGAATCTTATGCTTTAATATCCATTACAGATATCCAAGAAAGGGATATATGATGGCATTTTGCCAAACTTATTTTGCCATGATTTATGTGTTTGCCAGTGTACCTAACAGCAACCTCCAAAACGTTCTTCAGGTAACTAGCCCACTGGCAAGTGCTGGCCGCGTGAGCTGGCTCCACTTCCGCAGGCCGTGCAGAGCTCCACCTGCTGGGCTGTGTAAAGCCAGTGGACCGGCAGGCTCATTGAGCACCTGGTGGACAAACACCCCTGGGCAGGATGCTGAAGGGCACAGGAAGGGAGTGAAATGATGACTGTCCTGTAGACGTCCCAGGTCAAAGGAGCAGTCAGTAGTCAGTGCCACTGGAACAATGTCTAAGTGAGGTGGGAGCAGAGAAAAGTTTGGGTATAGAGTTGGAGGTATCTTCCCAAGACTCAAGGCATAAAATCATAGAATGAGGCCACTACCACTTTCAGTGGTACGCCACCAGGAACTGGACATGTAAGTACATTTCCGTGTGTAGGCTGTCCTTTCTGAGGATGGCACTTTGCAATGGCACCTGTCTCCCTCTGCCGCGAATCATTTACCTCAAATCCAAAGAGGTTCGTTCAGCTCATTGACTTTTTCCAGGTCTCTAACTTTCTAGTTATTTCTCTCATGGTATATTGACATTGCTTATTTAGTGTAAAACTAAAGAAGAAAAGAAAACTCATTAAATTTTTTAGAACATTGAATATATTTCAGTGAAGCTAGTGGCCCAACAGAATATTTTTCAATTGTTTGAATCTGAGGTTTAGTATTAGAAGGATAAATTTTTCTCTTTTCTGTATTTCTTATGCTTACTTGAAATATTGAAACCTCAAAATAGATATGGGTTTGCCCTGGCCAGTGTTGCTCAGTTGGTTGAACATCATCCCATGCACGGAGAGGTCACCAGTTGGATTCCCAGGCAGGGTATATGCCTTGGTTTCTGGCTCCATCCCCAGCAGGGAGAATGCAGGAGGATATATGATGGCATTTTATATCCCTTGTCTATGCAAATGGTACATGTGTGTGGCTGCAGGAGGAGCGCGGGAGGGGGGCAGGTATAATGGAACTCTGCAGGAGTTCCTCCACACAGGTGAACCCAAACAGAAACTCCTCAAGAGACTGCTCTTTGGTGGTCCTTACCTGGTTTCACCAACCCTCTCTACAACAATATGATTCTGGTACTCAGGGACTAGTCCACCAGCTTGGTACACAGATGCCTCCACAGGAACTTCTGCACAACAGGTGGGAATGCAACTAGGATTTTGTGGACCATCTCAAAAGAATTTGTTGAGAATAATTAAATCCACATCCTCTCTTGAGGACACTATATAAGATTCCTAAATATTAGTATTTGGTATGAATTTACTTGCAAACTCATGAACTTAAGAAATGACACTTTATGTTCTGTATGTATCTTAATAGTTTGCTCCAAAGCTCATATCTTATGAGAGTGGCCTAACATGGAAGCTTGGTCATCCCTCTTCTTGCCCTACCTGTGCGTCACTGGCACACTGCCAGGACAATCGGGGAAGAACGCCTCAGAGGCCGCTCTGACACTGACCACAGAGGGTACTATTAAGATGCCATTCACTTGGTAGGTATGGTCACTCCAAGGCCAACAGCTCTTGAGACATAACAACCTGAGCTTTGGCTTCCAGAGAAGTTGGGTTGTTCTCAAGACATAATTAAATCTTGTATTTATAAAGTTCAATGCGAAGGAAGTGCTCCCTCATCCCAACCTTTGCAATGTTTTATGTTCACTGATTAGCTGAGCTTCCTGCTTGCTGTTCCTTGTCCCTTGTCCCTTGTCCCTTGTCCCCAACCAACCCCTCTCACCCTCACCCGTGACACAACCACTAGATTTCAGATGATGGTCACTAAAGCAGTGTAGAATGTGTAAATTTACATATCTATATATATAAAAGGCTAAGCAACCGCCTGACCATCCGTCCAGTAGCTATGATGCACAATGACCAACAAAGGGTAGACACTCCGACCGGTAACTATGACACCAGGGGGCAGATGTGCAATGCGGGAGCTGCCAAACTGCGGTTCTCTGGTGAAGCACCCTGGAACCAGAGAGGAGGGAGTCCGATTCCTGGTTGTGTTACCCAAGAACTGCCCTCTTGCAATCCAGGACCCCTTGGGGGATGTTGGAGAGCCAGTTTTGGCCCGATCCCCGCAGGCCCGGCCAAGGGACCCCACCTGCCGGAGGGACTCCACTCACTCCGCAGACACCCTTTGGGCCGCACCCTCCCAGGTGCTGCCGGCCGGGGAGGGACCGTGGGAGGTTGGCTCCAGGGCATGTCTAACCATCTCGCCCAGTTTCACCCCACCAGCCACCTTCTAATTAATTTCCTTTCAATGTGTTCATCCATCCCTAACACAGTGCATTGAATCCACTCCACAGAAGTCTTCCCTTTTTCTTACAAAATAATGTCCCTCACTTCTTTCCAATTGTTCTTCAACTTTGCCTCCTTTGGATTTTCCTTTTTATCATCCTTTGGACATTTTAACTGTATTAAATCTAGTTGATTATGTCATTTTCCAAACCTTTGTACTCAACTTTCCAATTTCTTATGTTTTATACATTTTTTAAAAAATTGAGTTGGTCAATTGCATGCAGATACTCTTTTGTCATGTATTTAAGCATCTTCTTATTGAATCTTAGTGACTTTATCAGAGTTATCGTTCCTGAAGCAAAGAATATGCTCTCTTCTTAATATTTCTCTCTCTCTCTCTCTCTCTCTCTCTCTCTCTCTCTCTCTCTCCTCCCCTCTCTTCTCTTTCAGTCTCTCTTCATTTTTAGGTAGCATCCCTAATACCCCTACCCTGTTCAACATTTTCTCTTTTCATACTACTGATCAGCTTCCAATATGTCAGGTATTTTTCTCACTTATTATGTCTGTTACCCACAGTCTGTTTCCCCAGTAGAGGATGGTTTCCACAGAGGTGTGTGACCTGCTTGGTACGTGACCTATCTCCACCAGCGCTGGGCCTAAGCCAGTGCTCAATAAATCCTTGTGGAATGAGTGAAGGACATGTACCATTTGCATTGACAAGTGGCAAGAAGAACATAAAACGTCATGGTTTACTTTCCTCAAATGGCTTCACAGTTTCTTAATCCGTGCTGTTTTATCTTATGCTTCCAGATATCAACATGGCGGGGGAACCTAAACCCTACAGACCAAAACCCGGGAACAAGAGGCCCCTCTCTGCTCTGTACAGGTGAGTCGGTGAGCACCAGGCTGCACTATGTGGCCGTGGAAATGCCCACCACCTTGAAAGGTGATGCAGGTAACCTATGAGGACAAATAGGAGCAGCCAGCACCTACGTACATGGCGCGGCACTGGCCGGGTTGGACGGCGGACCTCCTGGCCTGGCAGAACCTTCCCAGACAGCTCTCTCACACCCTGGCGACGCCTCTCCTGACCCACGGGCAGGTGGTGGGAAGGTCGGCCTTCATTGATGGCCGCATGCGTGCACTGTAGGTGGCTCACACGTGGTGCTTGATTTAATCTAATTTCACAGCGATGCTGCTCTCCTCTTACACACCGAGCAGCTGACATGCAGTTTCTGAGGGAGTCCCTGGTCACCCCTCTGGGGAAGGATGACGCCAGTGCTCACACTCACGCTTTCTGCGGCCCCCGTGCCCCGAATCGCATCCCCCTGGCCATGCAGCCTCTTCTTGACAAAGTGCATATTCCTGTCCCCCCCTCTCCCAGACCACATTACTGTCTTCCTCTTCTTGAGGGGCAGCTCCGCGTCCTTCCCTCTCCCTGACTTTCTTGGGTCTGAGTCCATTAACATCTGGTCCTTCCCTCCCCAGGCATCAGCTTGTCATGCCC